TTTTTAGAGAAAATGTCGTTTTATATTTTAAATATAGGTTTTTAAACAAATTCCAATTTATCTTTACTATTTGAATTTATTAGTTAGAGATATAAAATCATGCAATGTATTAATAAAGGATTTGATAAAATGTACATGTTAATAAAAACTATCAGAATTTTTATCATATAAATATGTGTGATTTTAAGATTCTAAACATGAATTCTTCGTCTAGGAACCCAAAATGTTAGAAATGGCCGTGAACTTATACATGTAAATTAATTTGTTTGTTGGAAAAAAAAACAGTGTAATAGTGTGTATATATTTAGAATGTATATACTTAATTAGCTTAGACATATACGGTTACATGTGTATATTGTATATAAGAATAATGTATCTAAGTATATACACACTATTACAGTGAAATTAAATATGTTGGTTGTTGGTTCCTCGCTAAACCGTTAGACGAAAAATATCTAAATACAGAAAAGCACGATTAATTTTGACTCTCCACAATTGAAGGTTATAGAAGTTTGACAATTTTGAATAAGATGACTTACCAAAATATTTGCGAAATTTATGGGTAACCAAAGAAAAATCAAGCTAAGGAAGTCAATACCATTCATTGACCATGAAAAGAAGAAGGTTACATTACATGCATATACTATTTTTACGAACATAATGAAGCTATAAATGCTTGAAGGAATAAACACACGAACTCACTCCTCTCATCAAATATTTCCTTTTAACAAAACTATAATTTGATCTAATTCAAATTAAGTTGAGGGAAAAATCAATCATTAATCATGGCAAAGATCTCCTTTGTGCTTCTCGTTATCGCCCTTATTGCCTTTCTACATGTCTCTGAGGCTCATCGTTCGTTACATTTCGAGGAACAAGTACTTGAGAACGATTTGGATGAAGCCAAGAACTTGATCGAAGAGGACTTAAAAGAAAAGGAAACGAGCATTAAGCACTTGGAAGACGAGGTGCATATGTTAACCAAATCTGATCACATGTTGAGTGAGCTCGGAGATGCTTACAAAAACGGTAAGAATCTAGCGCCTTTGGGGAAAAGACTCAAGAGATTCAACAGGAGGATCAAGAAGGCGCCTGAGGAAGGGAGATACGTATCCATAATCCAATGTATTTTGAAGGACTTGGGATTAAACGGAGGGAGATTTTGAAACAAAAAAATTAGGGTTTGATGAATGTTTTGAGGCGTCTAAAGGAGGTTTCAACAAAAGTGAGAGGAGCAAATAATTCGCCCATAGTATAAATATATTTTAATTGGATCAATTGAATAATAAATCAATTGTAATACAATGAAATGAAAGGTATTACTTATAATATTGTAAGCTACTTTTGTGCTAATATTTTGTTAGTTATACGCACAATGTATCTTGAAATAGTCATGGCCGGTCCTAAGATTTAGGGGGTCCTAAGCCAAAAAAAAATTTTAGGGAGTTTATAGATACATTTTCAATTTGGAAATTTTTTCGTAAAAAGTAATAATTTCAGGGACCTATTTTTAATATTCAAAAATTAGAAAATTTTGGAGGCCTAAAGCCCATGCCTCCTTGGCCTGTGCTCAGACCCGGCCCTGGAAATGGTTACAG